CTGGGGGATTCTGGGAATTGGAGTCCACCCATCTTAAAGCATGCTGGCTGGGGAATTCTGGGGGTTGGAGTCCACCCATTTTAAAACTGTCAAGTTTGAAAAAAAAAACCCACTCTTTTGGCTGGATCACAGGATTAGATTTACTTTTATTCCCACTCGGTATTAAATTTCACAATGTACAAAGCCACACACTAATCTCAGATGTTGCGTGCTTACCTTACCTCAGATACATGCACACACTTCAGGAACTAAACCATACATTGGCTTCAGGGGATGGCGAGAATTACCCAAAACTACGAAGAAAGGACCTGAAAGCTTCTAAGAGACTAACTCACAAAATTCCCAGTTCTGTTTTTAGCCTATTCCGGCATGTTGGTGCGCCAATGTAAAATGGTTCCTCACTGAGGACTAGATGCTTAAACTGCAAGAGATGGTTCGCATTTGGTCACACACAGGCTGTAGAGAGTGAGGTTGGGGCAGGACTGGGGTGGGGTGAGGCAGTTTAGAGCTTGGCCTTTCAGGAGAAAATTGGTGAATGTAATCTTTTTTAAAAAATTTCTTCTCTCTTTCCTTTCCGGTGTGGACTTCAGTGTGGGAGCAACCCACTTCCGGGTTTGACGAAGCAGGAAGATTGCTGCGGCAGCATTGGCACCTCCTGGGGCCAAACCAAATGCCACAAATGCCCCCACCTGCAGTGTAAGCCTTCAGCCCTCCCCCGCTCTTTTCCTGGTGCCCTTCGGGGACCTCGCACCACCCAGCGATCCCCAGCGCAGGTTGCCCAGGATTCTGTGGATGCATTCCTCGCCTGAAAAAAAAAAACCACGAAATTATCAAATCGAATTCTATTGAACTGAATACTTTATTTGGCCAAGTGTGATTAGACACTCAAGGAAGTTGTCTCCGTGTACAGATAGTCCTCCATTTACGACCACAATTGTGCGCAACATTTCTCTTGCGAAATGAGACAGTTGTTAAGTGAGTTTTGCCCCACTTTACGACATTTCTTGCCACAATTGTTAAGTGAATCACCACAGTTGTTAAGCTAGAAACACAGTCGTTAAATGAATCTGGCTTCAAATCATTCTAGGAAACGAATAAAACAATATAAATTGTAAAGATACAAACAACATGGTTATAGTCATAAGTAGGAAGAGGTAGGTACTGGGAAGGATGAGAAGAATAATAGTAATGCAGACTTTGTAAATAGTTGGACAGTGTTGAGGGAATTATTTGTTTAGCGGAGTGATGGCGTTCGGGAAAAAACTGTCCTTGTGTCTAGTTGTTCTGGTGTGCAGTGCTCTATAGCGTTGCTTTGAGGGTAGGGGTTGAAACAGTTTATGTCCTGGATGTGAGGGGTCTGTAAATATTTTCACAGTCCTCTTTTTGACTCGTGCAGTAGGCAGGTCCTCCATGGAAGGCAGGTTGGTAGCCTTTGTATTTTTTCTGCAGTCCTAATTACTCTCCAGAGTCTGTATCTGTCCTGTTGGGTTGCAGAACCAAACCAGACAGCTATAGAGGTGCAGATGACAGACTCAGTAATCTCTCTGTAGAACTGGATCAGCAGCTCCTTGGGCAGTTTGAGCTTCCTGAGTTGGCGCAGAATGCTCAAACTGCAGAAATAACATTAAATTTTTAATGTTTTTTTTTTTTTTTGAAAATGTAGGCGTTGGAAGGCAAACAAGTAGAGGAATGTGGAAGTCTTAAACGCTTGCTGTGTGCTCTTTTTTTCCAGATTTGGGTGTGCAAAAGACAATGGGGAGCGATTGTCCTCAAGGATACAAGCGACTCAACAGCACTCACTGTCAGGGTAAGGCTTTGCGATTGTGGTGTGTATGTTCCACATGTGTTTGTGTTTGGAATTTGAATGTCAGCGAACTGGAAAATAAAATCTGCTGTCATTGGTGCCCTTGAACCCGAGATTCTGCATTTTCTTTTCTTTTTTTTTGTATATTATTTTATTTTTATTCATAAACATTTCTAATACAGTGTATTGTCAGGGCATATCGTTTACCGAAAAGCAAAGAAAGAACAAAAAGGAATATTAACATAAATGCTAATGACAATAGTAATAACGTAACATAATAGCTTTAAGTAGATTTCTCTTTATATTAGCTTGTTCATAGTTCTGTTGATTATTATCTATATATATAAAAGCAAAATGCTACTCATGCATCATCACAAAATCTCCAGAACCGTAAAGCCTACAAACTTGAAATTTGGAGGAGAGGAGAGGAGTTTCAGTTTCCAAGCAGCTTTAGTACAGAGCGGTTGAGCTAAGCCATGCCCAGGCTCCTTGCTGTCTCCTTCTTGCTCACACAGCAAATACTCTTTCAGTTTCCAAACGGCCCTCAACTCTGTCACACGCTGATAGGACTTTAGCCAGATGAATACTGATGGATGCTGGAAGAGGCAGAATTTTTTCCCCCTTATTTTCCTCCCCCAAAACTAAGCCCGACCACATAGTTTCGTAGCGAAGCAGAGGTATCGAACTAGTATTGGCATATTTATAATTATAAACCATCTTTATATTTACCGTATTTCCCCATGTATAAGCACCCCCTTTGTATAAGCCACCCCCCCAATTTTTGGACTGTGAAGTTTTGAAAAAAATATTTTATTAGAGAAACAAGTTATGAAGAAAGAAAATTTACAAAGAAACAAAATTCGACGTCTAGATCTACAACTTCGGTCATGACGGCGAAAGCGGTGCGGGCGACGCTAGCAATCTACGCATCGGAACAAGAGTAGGAACGAAGCATTCAGGCCGATGCCTAGCGTATGCATTTCTATCGCGTACTCGCACTCGTAATCGTATCATCACGTACAATTTTTACAAAAAAGTATAGCATACTGCTGGAAAACCAGTTTATTCCTACTTTATTATTTTATGCATTTTTCACGTATAAAAAGTGTACCTGCTTTGTATATGCCACCCCCCTACTTTTTGGGCTTGAAAATTTTGGAAAAAAGGGGTGGCTTATACATGGGGAAATACTGTAGTTCATACATAGCAATATTATCATTCTTCCTCTAATTTTATACCTCTTATCTCTAACCGCTTGTAAAGTCTGTTCCATGTTAAGTAATATTCTGTATCTTCTTTGTCCTTTATTTTTAATGTCAATCTATCCATCTCTGCACAGTCTAATATTTTCCGAATGACCTCTCACTTTCTACTGGGGTGTGGCACATGGGACTGGAGGTGGCCTCTGCATAGGGGATGAGTAACCTCGGGGCAGTCTCAGAATCACTTCCTTCTATCTTCTGAATCGGGAGGATATTTGGAAATCGGAGGTTTTAGCAGAAGGAATTACGACCAGACGGAAGTTTGAATGCCAGGATCAGTCCTCTTCAATCCTGCTCCCCATCATACAAGCTCGAAGCTACAAGAGCTACAATGATTAATAGTTATTTTTGGCTTCCCCCCCCCCACAGACATCAATGAGTGTGCCATGCAAGGCGTGTGCCAAGGAGGAGAGTGTTTGAACACCCAAGGAAGCTTCCGTTGCGCGTGTAAACCGGGGCAGGTTTTGGGACCTTCGCGCACCCACTGTGTGGGTATGTATCTCTAGAGGTTGGGGTGGCAGATATGGTTCTCCCTCTCTCTCCCGCTCCCTCCCTCCCTCTCCTCCCCTCCTCTCTCCCCTCCCTCCTCCACTCTCCCTCCCTCCTTCCTTTCCTCTCTCCCTCTTTCCCTTCCTCTCTCTTCCTCCCTCTCTTCCCTTCCCTTCCCCTCTCTCCCTCCCTCCCCCTCCCTTTCTCTCTCCCTCCTTCCCTTCCTCTCTCTCCCTCCCCCTCCCCCTCTCCCCCTCCCTCCCTCTCTCCCTCCCTCTCCTTCCCCCTCTCTCCCTCTTCCCTCCCTCTCCCTGTCCCTCCCCCTTCCCCTCCCCCTCTCTCTCCCCCTCTCACTCCTTCCCTTTCTCTCTCCCTCCCTCTCTCTTCCCCTCCCTCCCTCTCTTTTCCCCTCCCTCCCCCTCTCCCTCCCTCCCTGTCTCTCCCTCCCCCTCCCTTTTTTTCCTGTGAACTTCTACCTCCCCTGATCTCTTTCTCTGTCCCTCTTTTTTGGGGGGGAGGGCAGCGGAGAAAGGCGGGGAGAGGAGCCTGTGTTTCCGACTGGTCAGTCCCGAGCAGCAGTGCCAGCACCCGCTGTCCACCAAACTGACACGCCAGACGTGCTGCTGCAGCGTGGGCAAAGCCTGGGGCATCCATTGCGAGCGATGTCCGGCCGACGGAACGGGTGAGTCGAAGGGCAGGCGAGCGGGGACCGAAACGGCGCTTGTCGGCTCCCTCGAACTCCATCCGCTCGGATCTTGCTTCCCTGCCCTGTTTGCGGCTCAGAGTTCTCTCTCTGTCTCGGTGCTCCGTTATTGTCTTCTGAATGCTGGGCCGCTTCTCTAGCTCGGGACGGGCTGCAGGTAGTCTTTGACTTACAACCGGTCATTTAGTGACCATTCAAAGTTACAACAGCCCTGGAAAAAGTGACTTTAACGTCCGGTTTTCACACTTATAACCTTGGTAGTTTCCCTGTGTTCATGTGAACAAAATTCAGACACCCGGCAAACTGGTTCATACTTATGACCATTCCTGTATCCTGAGGTTACGAGATCACTTTTTGCAACCTTCCGAGATCAGTAAAATGAGAAGTCAGATTGTTGGGGACAATAGACTGACTCTAAACCGCTTAGAGAGGGTTGTAAATCACTGTGAAATGGTATATAAGTCTAAGAGCCATTGCTGCTTTCCATCTTTCCTTCCTTCCTTCCTTCCTTCCTTCCTTCCTTCCTTCCTTCCTTCCTGCCTGCCTGCCTGCCTGCCTGCTAGAATGCCGCATTACAAGCAAACTCTGCCCACAGTCAGGAGTTCAATTCTAACCAGCTCGAGGTTGACTCAGCCTTCCATCCTTCCAAGATTGGTAAAAGAAGGAGCCAGATTGTTGAGGGCAAGAGGCTGACTGTAAAACGCTTAGAGAGGGCTGGAGATTACTGTGAAGCGGTATATAAGTCTTAAGTGCTATTGCTATATCCCCGCTTTGCCATATTGTCCTGGAAAATCATCTCCTCCGTTGCCCCTTTTCCAACACAGCTCCCGTTTTCCCTTCCTCTCGTTCTCCGCTCCTCAGTCCATTGCTTCACCGCGCGAATCTTACCTGCAGGTTGGAGGGCCTCTGACTGTCTCGTTTTTTTCTCTCCCGGTTGGATAGCGGCATTCCGAGAAATCTGCCCTGCGGGGAGAGGCTACCACATTCAAACCTTGCACCAAACTCTGACCATCCAGGGAGAGAGCGAGTTCCTACTCCAGATCCACCCGGATGCTACTAGTGACTTGCCACCACCACGGCCGGAGCCTCCCACCCTTCTTGCCCCGGACAGCGATTCCCAGGAAGCAGAAGGTTGGTTTGCTCACGCGGGAAGGGAAGGGAAGGGAAGGGAAGGGAAGGAGTTACTCAGCGAGCTGGGGGTAGTTGGAAGGTGAAAGTAGAGCCGTGGGCACCTTCTCAAAATGGCTGTCTTGGCAGACATGGCTGGGGCAATGCAGGTAGTCCTTGACATAGAACAGTCCATTGAGAGACTGTTCGAAGTTATGACGACACTGAAAAAAGCAACACAACCATTTTTTAAAATTAGGTATTTTTATTTGAATGTATATGACCTTGAACATGTCATCTTCCATTAAACAGTGTGTCGTCTGGGTGCAAATATCTCTGTGCTATTACAATCAAAATTTACAGTATTCGTTACATTGATAATAATTATCTATTCTTACAATAATTAGAATAGAGTAGAATAGAAGAGAATAGAATAGAATGTGGAATGGAATGAAATGGAATAGAACAGAATAGAACAGAACAGAATAAATATTTGAAGGAATAGAATAGAATAAATATTTGAAGGAATAGAATATAGAGTATAATATAATAGAATAAATATTTGAAGGAATATAATATAATAGAATATAGAATAGAATAGAATAGAATAGAATAGAATAGAATAGAATAGAATAGAATAGAATAGAATAGAATAGAATAGAATAAATATTTGAAGGAATAGAATGGAATAGAATAGAATAGAATAGAACAGAACATGGAACAGAATGTAACGGAAGGGAACGGAACAGAACAGAACAGAACAGAACAGAACAACAGAATAGAATAGAATTCTTTATTGGCCAAGTGTGATTGGACACATAAGGAATTTGTCTTTGGTGCATAAGCTCTCAGTGTACATAAAAAGAAAAAGGGAAAAAATACATTTGTCAAGAATCATTGGCATAACACTTAATAGTAGTCAAAGGGTACAAATAAGCAATCTAATCATACTAGGAAACAAAATAAGCAATCAAATTATAGTAGTAAACAGTCAATTAAAAAAATCATAAGGATACAAGTTAAGTTACATTCATGCAGTCATAAGTGGGAGGAGATGGGTGAAAGGAAGGATGAGAAGATGAATAGTAATCGTTTTTTTTTTTTTTTTATTTGTCAATTGCTTACAAGATAATAGGTATAAGTATATACATAGTTATGAATACCTGAAATGGGTACATATAAGAAAAATAAACAATAGGACAGGGACGGTAGGCACGTTGGTGCGCTTATGCACACCCCCTACAGGCCTCTTAGGAAAGGGGTGAGGTCAATAGTAGACAGTCTAAAGTTAAAGTTTTTGGGGTTTGGGGAAGAAACCACAGAGTCAGGTAGAGGATTCCAGGCATTGGCCTCTCTGTTACTGAAGTCGTATTTCCTGCAATCAAGTTTGGTGCGGTTGACCATGAGCTTGTTTCTATTGTTTGCTCTTGTATTGTTATGATTAAAGCTGAAGTATTCACTGACAGGTAGGACATTGCAATGTATGATTTTATATACTATACTTAGATCGGACCGAAGGCGGCGTAGTTCTAGGTTTTCTAGGTCTAGAATTTCGAGTCTGGTGGCATCAGGTATTCTGCAACGAGTAGAGGAGTCTAGAACTCTTGTGAAATATTTCTGGACTTTCTCAACTGTGTTAATATAAGATACATAATGTGGGTTCTAGACTGATGAGCTGTATTCGAGTATTGGTCTAGCAAATGTTTTGTATGCTCTAGTTAGTAGTGTAATATTACCAGAGAAAAAGCTACGTAAATAATAATAATAATAATAGTAGTAATAGTAATAATACAGACTTAGTAAATAGTTTAACAGTGTTAAGGGAATTATCAGCATTATGACTCTATTCATTTGTCCATTTTAACATATCTTCTAATGAAAATATAATACTAAATACTAAATTAGGTATAATAATCTTAACAATCATATTAATAATCACCATCATATTGTTTACATCTCTGTCTTAATGTATATTCTTTATTTTACTAATCTCCTTTTATTTCTCACTTCTGTTTTTATTCTCCAACCATCCATAAAATAGCTCCCATGTTGTGTAATATTCAGTTTGTTCTTTCTCCGTTATACAAGCGTTAATCTATTCATTTCTGCACATTCTTATGACCATTTTTAACATTTAGAACTTGTAGCATCCCCGTGCTCAAAATTCAAAACGCTTAGCCACTGATTCATATTTATGACGGTTGAAATTTTAATGTGATCCCCTTTTGTGACCTCCTGACAAAGCAAAACTGATTCACTTAACAACGGGGAAACCCGGTTCACTTAACAACAGTATTGCTAACTTAGCAACATCAGGGATTTGCTGAACAACTGTGCCAAGAAAGGTCTTAAAAATGGGGCACTTAACAAAAGTTTTCCTCAGTCACAGAAATTTTGGGCTCAACGGTGGCCAAAATTTGAGGACTCCCTGTATTGTCCCCGTGCAAATATTTTTCCCTTTTTATTCATGTCTTCACACAAAATCTCATTTGTGTTCTTCCTTCCGGAAGCCGGCTAGGACCGACACAAACAGCGATTGCAGGATTGTGGGAATGTGCAATATTTTTGTAAGTCACCTTTTTCAATGCTGTTCTAACTTTGAATAGTCACTCAACAGATGGTCGTAAGTTGAGGTCTAACTGTACTGGGTATCTACTCCTGGATGAACTCACCTGCGGAGAAGCTGAACTCAATATTTGCGTGTATTTTGGCAGCTAAATTTTTAAACTTCAAGTAGTTCCACCATTAAGGTTCCTTTTTGATTCTGTGTTTCTGTATTCTGCTTTTCTGCCAGATTTCGTTCCCTGTTCCTTAATCTCGGCTATCCAAAACCATTTGGGCATTTGTTCCACGGCAGGTTGTGATTTTAAAGTCAATTTTCCTTTTTGGATTACCCCAGTCTCAACTCAGCTGAAACAACAACAGTGTAAAAAGTTTTTTGCCTTTTGCAAAGTTTCATCTTGCCAGGTTGCGTGGTGCAGTTTTGACCCTCAACGGCATGAGGTCTAGAAAGTTGGCTTTTCTTTTTTTTTCTTTTTTTTTGCAAAGCGAACCCTCCCAGATAAGGAAAAAATATCCTAAGCTGAGATTTGAAACTTTATTTCGGACTGAAGGAGAGTTTGGATTCAAATCATAACTTGAAGCACATCAAGATATCTTTGTTTCTGCCAAAGAACAGATTTGAAAGCTCTTTTATAGGTTTGCAGTTAGTTATTTGACTTGGTTTACTGCCAGCCACCCAAAATCAAGTGATTTACTGCAGTCTTAAAGAAGAAAGAACATTTCTGGACTTTATAACTGGAGAGAGAGAGAGAGAGAGAGAGACATTTTAAGCTGCGGAGGAGTTCTTTCTTTTTAAAAAAGAATTGGATTTTTTGATGGAAGAGGTGTGTGCTGTATGTTAAAAAGAGAAACAAATAAGTCTGTAGTCCCTGGAACGCCAGGAATGCCACTTCATTTGCAATCTCTCCAACCGGAGAGCAGCTCGTAAAAATAATATTTTGCTTAGGGTTTTTTACAAGCTTTTTGAAAAAACGCCACAGTGGAACTGGATTGGACCCTGGTTATTAAGGATATGTGAAATAAAAAGGGAAGGGAGGGAGGGAGGGGGAAGGAGGAAAGGAGGAAGGAACAGAAAAAAAAGGAAGGAAGGAAGGAAGGAAGGAAGGAAGGAAGGAAGGAAGGAAGAAGAGGCAGTGGGAGGAAGGAAGGAGGAAAGGAGAGAGAAAAGGAAGGAAGGAACAGAGGGAGGGAGGGGGAAGGAAGGAGGAACAGGAAAAAGAAGGAAGGCAGAAAGAAGAAGAAATGGGAGGAAGGTAGGAGGGAGGGAGTGAGAAAAGGAAAGAAATGGTGGGTGGGAGGGATGGGGAAGGAAGGAAGGAAGGCAGACTATTTCAGCCATGGATAAAAACTAATTAAGGAGAAAACCAAGCTAGAAATAAGAAGGAATTTCCTGACCATGAGAACAATTGCAGGTATTCCTCGACTTACAACAGTTTTTTAGTGACCACTCGAAGTTACAGCAACACGGAAACAAGGAGCCTATGACCGTTTTTCACACTTAAGACGGTGGCAGCATCCCCATGGTCACATGATCAAGGTTCAGATGCTTGGAAATTGACTCCTATTTATGACGGCGGCAGTGTCCTGGGGTCATGTGATCCCCTGTTGCGACCTTCTCACATGCATAGTCAATGGGGAAGCCTGATTCACTTAACAACATGTTACTAACTGAACAACTGCAGTGATTCACTTAACAACTGTGGCAAGTAACATGGAGAAAAGTTCACTTAACAACTGTCTTATTTAGCAACAGAAATTTCTAGCTCAATTGCGGTCGTAAATCGAGGACTGCCTTGGAATCAGTGGAATGGCTTCCCCTCCAGAAGTTATCGGTGCTCTATCACGGAAGGCTTTTAAAGAAGAGACTGGACAGTCATTTGTCTGGAATGGTGTAGGGTTTCCTGCTTGAGCAAGGGGTTGGACTAGATGACCTCTGAGGTCCCTTCCAACTCTTGTTATATACTGTTACTCGTAATTGTTTAGATCAGTAGAAGAATGGAGTATGCTCACAGAGGCACTAACTCTCATCAAAAGTTCTAACCATCATCCTATCTCTGGTTTTATGTTTTGCAGCTGTTTCTCCAGCCATGGTAAGTGTGAGGCCCACTGAAGAACTGTGGAAGAGGTAAAAAAAAAATATGTGAAAAAAAATTAATTAATGGCCGTCTTCAAATCTAACACAATCTCAGAGAGTTATTTAATGGAATCTGAGCCACCAGGAGATGATACAGGGGTCTCCAGCGGTCATTTGAATCGGTCTTCTGCTTTTCTTTTTAATACATTTTTAATTTTATTTAAAATACATTCAATTCATCTTCCATTTAACGGTGTGTCATCTGGGTACAGATATCTTATGCAATAATAATTACAATTACAACCATATTCAGTTAATTTTCTATTATTATCTTATTAATATACATAATGTCTCTCTCACTATAACACTCCTCTTAACGTATTTAATTCTATTAACCTATTTTCTATATTTCACTAATCTATTAGCTATTGCTAGCTTCCATATTTTTTTCTCTAGCCATTGATAAAACATCTAATAGTATTCAGTTTGCTCCTTCTCTTTAATTGCAAACTTTAATCTATTCATTTCTAATATTTTTGGTCGGCCTTCTGCTTTTCAACCTATTATCCAAAGCACCAGAGGGCAGGACAATAAACAATGGATGGAAACTCATCAAGGAGAGATCCAACCTACAACTAAAGAGAAATTTCCTGAGAGTAAGAACAATTAACCAGTGGAACAACTTGCCACCAGAAGTTGTGAATCCCCCATCACTGGAGGCTTTCAAGAAGAGATTGGAGAGCTATTTTGTTGTGGCCTGGTGGTGGCTAGTGGAACTGGCAGCCGAGAGTGAGGAGGTGGGGGAGGAACATGGGCCAGTCCTGGAGGCTGAAGAAGGCTCGGACGAGGGCTCTTCATCAGAGGCAGAGATGGGGCCAGGACTGTCTAACAGTTATCAGCTGCCTTTGGAGTCGGACATCAGTAGGGCAGAAGAACAGCTGGAGCCTTTTCCCAATGTGTGCATGCACAGAGCTGCCAGGAGAAGGGAACAGTTAATGAACAAGGGTCGACTCAGGAGTAAAGGCTCAGGTGGATGGTGAATGGCCCCTCCCATAGGGAATAAAGAGGAGGGAACGGGGAGGGGTGTTTGCAGGAGGCAATTCGTTTGTTTAATGAGGGTGAAGATTGGTTCCTGACTCCTTGCAGTGAGGCAGGGGAGCAGCTGGAGCCCGTTCCCAGCCTGCGCATGTGCAGAGTTGCCAAAAGAAAAGAACAAGTATGAACTAAGGGTCGACGTGGGAGTAAAGCCACAGATGGATGGTGAATGGCCCCTCCCATAGGGATGAAAAGAGGAGCAAAAGGGGAGGGGGCTTTTGCAGGAAACAATTTGTTCCTTGCAGCAGTGTGACGATCTCTGTCGAGCCCTTCCTTGTCAGCACTGCGTTTGGAAATATTTACTTGGCAGCTCGCCAGGCTAGATAAAGTCTGTGCTCCTCTTTAGACCCTTGAAAGACTGTTTGCCAGGCCTTTGGCTGAATGTGGATGCAAGAAATTCACCTTCGTTTAATAAAAGGGGTTTTGCCAGGACAAAAAGTCTCCTTAGTGCTTTTGGGGGAAGCCTAGATCAGAACATCTAAAATGGTACTATAGGGTCTCCTATAGGGGGTTGGACTAGAAGACCTCCAAGGTCCCTTCCAACTCTGTTATCCTGTTTTTGTTTTGTTTATTCCAAAAGGAATGATTTTGGACATAATCTCATCGATTCACCCTGATGAAGGACAAGGTTGCAAATCCCAGTGACGTGAGATCACCAATTGCAACCTTCTGATAGGCAAAGTCAGTGGGTCATTCCCTTCAGAAACGTGCAACTGACTTAACAACGGCCATGATTCACTTAACGACTGTGGCAAGGAAGGTCGTAAAATGAGATAAAACTCACTCGATATCTCCTTTAAAGAGCATAGTTTTGGGGCTCAGTCGGGGTCTTAAGCTGAGGACTCCTGCTATCTTGTCTTCCCGTTCATTGTCTCCTTCTCTTCCCTTCTCAATCTCTCCAGGTGCCCAGAGACACGACGATTTCGGAAGAGCAGGGTGTGGTTTTCGGCAACACCCCAACTTTGGGTCCTCGGTACCCCGGTGAGTGAGAGGAAAAACACTTCTCTGTGCTGGTTCCCCCAGCCTCGTTGTGGGGGCATTTTCAGTGGTTGCAGGAGCTGGGCCTGGCTAGTCTAGCTTGGGCGGAGGGTTGGACTAGATGACCTACAAGGTCCCTTCCAACTCTTTTAATCTGGGTCTGTCTGTCTGTCTGTCTGTCTGCCTATCTATCTATCTATCTATCTATCTATCTATCTATCTATCTATCTTCTATTTATCTATTATCTGTCTATATCAATCTATCATTTATCTATATCTATCATCTATCATTTATCTATTATCTATCTCTATCTATCTATCATCTATTTATTTATATCAATCTATCATCTATCTACATCTATCATCTATCATTTATCTATTATCTCTATCTATCTATCTATCTATCTATCTATCTATCTATCTATCTATCAATCAAACAGATGTTGAGACTCTAGAACAGAGGTCTCCAAACTTGGCAATTTTAAGATTTGTGGACTTCAACTCCCAGAATTCTCCAGCCAGCTGAGGAATTCTGGGAGTTGAAGTCCACAAATCTTAAAGTTGCCAAATTTGGGGACCCTTGCTTAGAAAGAGTGCAGAAAAGAGCAACCAGGATGTTGAGGCTAAAACATATGATGAACAGTTGCAGGAACCGGCTAGTCTAGGGAAGAGAAGGACCAGGGGAGACAGGAGAGCATCTTCCAATATTTGAGGGGCTGCCCCAGAGAGGAGGAGGAAGGGGGTCAAGCGATTCTCCGAAGCTCCTGAAGGCCAGACAAGGAATAATGGGTGGAAACTGAACAAGGAGAGATTCAACCTGGAAATAAGGAGACATTTTCTGACTGAGAGCCATCAATCCAAGTTGCCTTCAGAAGTTGTAGGAGCTTCATCCCTGGAGGCTTTCAAGAAGAGACTGGACTGCCATCTGTCAGAAATGGTGTAGGGTCTCTGCTTGGGAAGGGGGGTTGGACTAGATGACCTACAAGGTCCCTTCTAAATCATCTGTTAATCTTTGCAGTGGTGATCACGAAGCCCACCGTCGCGGTCGTGGTGAAGTACCCTGAAGAGGACCGAATGGATGAATTTTACATGCCTCCAACTCAAGAGACCGGTAAGCACCATACTATCAAATCACGTTTCCCCCCTACTCTTTTTCTGAAAACATTTTTTTCTAAAAAATACAGATAGTCCTTGACTTACAGCCATTCCTTTAAGTGGCTTTGAAGTTACAACGTCGCTGAAAAAAGTTGACTTGGGACCATTTTTCCTACTTCCATGGCAGCATCCCCCTGGTCGTGTGATTTACATCGCGATTGCTTAACCCCTTTGGCGTCCCTTCTGACAAGGAAAATCCATGGGGGAAACCCAGATTCACTTAATGACCGTGTGACTAATTTAAAAAAGGCAGGGGCTCACCTTAACAACAGTGGCAAGAAATGGGGCAAAAATGACTGAACACATTTCTCACTTAACTACATTACATGCAAGGTTGAGGTTGTGACTATAGAGTGGCAGCGATGGTCATCAGTGCGAGGACAGATTGTTAAGTCACTTTTTTCCCAGCCCTGTTATCACTTGGAACGATTGTTTTATATATATTTATATTTTTATATATATATATATATATATATATATATATATACACACACACACACACACACACACACACACACACACACACACACACACACACATATATATATACATATACATACATACATCATACATACACATACATACATATACATACACACACACACACACACACACACACATATATACATATGTATATGTATGTATCTATATATATATATGGAATAAAATAGAATAGAATGGAATGGAATGGAATGGAATGGAATTCTTTTATTGGCTAAGTGTGACTGGACACATAAGGAATGTGTCTTGGTGCATCTGCTGTCAGTGTGCATAAAAAGAAAAAAATACATTAATCAAGAGTCAAGAATCATCAGGTCCAACACTTAATGATAGTCCTAGGGTACAATACGCAATCGAATCATGCTAGGAAACAGTCAATATAAATCGTAAGGATAGAAGCGACAAAGTTACGGTCACACAGTCACAAACGGGAGGGGAGGGGTGATTAGGTGTGATGAGCAGATTAATAGCAATAGCAGTTAATAGTAGTAGTAAATTTTTTATTGTTTTTTTTAATATACAACATACCATTCCATTTCAATCGTGTGTCTATTTAAGTACATATTTCAAATATTTAACCATTATAAATAATGTTCCTATCAAATCTACAATACAACAATAATCATAAGCTCATATACATAATACTATCACCTATAGCTATTGCCTTAATTTCTCTAATTATTCTGTGAATGCATCAAATCTTTTTTTTTTAATTTGTTCTATTCTCTATCCATTGATAAAACATATTCCACACCTTGTAGTATTCAGTTTCTTCTTTTTCTTTAATTTCTAGTGTCAGTCTGTTCATTTCTGCACATTCAAATATTTTTTTTCAGTTCTTTTCCTCTCTATCGGTATTTTATCACTCTTCCAATTTTGGGCAAATACAATTCTAGCCGCTCTTAAAACATACATAATTAAATAAATATTTTCTTTACTATAGCCTTCTGGTACCATTTCTAATAGGGATATTTCAGGTTTCGGATCTAAATGTTGTGTAATCTTTTTTTAATCACTTGGAATGGTCGTTAAACGAGTTGCAAATGGCCTGTATGTAGGTTTCCTCTCGTTTCGAACTTTCGGGCTGGGATTGAAGGCTCCGTGTTGGGGGGGAAAAAAACGACCATTATCCAATCGATGGAACAATTGTGGCAATTTCCAATGGTTTTTTTCCCCCCCCTGCCTTTCTCTCTCTCCGCCACACAGAGGTGGACATTTGCAAATTAAACCGCAATATTTGCAACCACGGGGAGTGCATCCCGACTCGATCCGGATTCACCTGCCAATGTTACCAAGGTTATCGGTGGCATCCTCAGCACAGGTATTGCGTAGGTAAGAGGCGGTTTCCTTCAAAGGTTTCAGCTCAATCAGAATAGAGTCGGAGGTCTGTCTAGTCCAACCCCCTGGTATAGGGTCCCCTATGGGGGGGGTTGGACTAGAAGATCTCCAAGGTCCCTTCCAACTCTGCTATTCTATTCTATTCTATTCTATTCTATTCTATTCTATTCTATTCTATTCTATTCT